TTATCATACTGCGCGAAATCCTTGCAGGCATCCACTTGGTCCTTTATAAGATATGACCAAATAGATCCACGTGCTAATTACTGCAAATGCAATTTGGGAACGAAATTAATGATGTGTTCAACCATCAATGATGTGCTCGAAGTGCTATACAAAGTGGGGGTTCTACGTCGGGTGGATCGGGTGGATCTACCCATGACGTCATCAAAATATCATATAATACTGATTATACGCGCTTGTAATGTATTTAAAGAGTGTGGACGAATGATTACTAGCATTTTAATTAAGAAAATATTTTACAGTTTTGTACTTTGCTAATATTTACCCCCACATTAGCCTGCGTAGCAGGCGTTTAGTGCTGGCGGGAAAAGAGGAAACGCCTGCCCAAATGGCTATGACAAATTTGTTTTCGCCCATTAAGGATGATTGACGTTTTGTAATTAGCACCTTCACCAATTATCCAATCATAGTCGAGATTTATATTTAGAATTGCTCGGCAACTAGGGAAATTTGCAGAGATTTTACGTACTATTTAAAACATAAGCATGCAGCAGTGTTTTATCAGATATAAAATGGTCTGATAAAACACGCACTGCGAATGTTTTAAATTGCTTCAAAAACGATCGATCTAGTATAAGTTCATTGGCGAAATAGCTTTGAAAAAATTCGTTGTGTATGTAGAAAAAATCAAAGTTAAAATTTATGTAAATCAAGGGAAATCTCTATCACAAAAAAAAAATACACGTTTATGATTTTTCTTTGTGTTTTCCTCATAAATTTTTGATGAGTTTCTGAAGCTGTTTTAGTCAACAATCACGAAACAGAGCTTTTATCCTTTAAAGGTTTTACTCCAAGTGCAAATATTTCAAGAACTAAGCAAGATATGAAAAAGCGCTAAAAGAACTTAATATATAGTTTCAATTGTTCTATCAAATGAGAAAATAAAAAAATATATTGCCATTTCCCTTTAGAAGGCTCGTGAACCACGGTTGTTTAACGTATTCTGCCGTATAGCAAATTAACTGCAAATAACAGTTGACCATGTTTTGAAATGTTATTCTTAAAATCATCATACAACCCCATACTATGTAGTAGCTGCAATGCCAAGTGATGTAGCCTCAACTATGTCAACTATCTGGTCTTGAATTATTCTTTAAAGTGAACAAATAACAAGACAACTATAAGGAATATTCGATCCCTGCTCGAGCAAGCTTTGATTTGCCGATATATTAAAAACCTATAATTGAAACCGCTCAAACTTTTCCGTATATCCCGTAGGAAGAATCGCGATAACCGGCGTCTTCACCATGTAGCAAATTAATAATAAACTTTCTCTGTTCTGGTTTCAACTGAATTTCGAAGTCTAAATACTTGAAATATAAGAGTTTCCTCGAAAGCATTAACAGGGCGGCATATTTTCGATACGCGAGCAAAATTATTGTTGACATTTGAGTTACGTAATTACTTCCGTTAGCGAGATTGACCAATGGGAAGCTTTTCCGAAGATTCTTCGGAGAACAAATTAATCATAGGCATTTGGGCAAGCGTTTATTTAACGACGCCCTCTCTTCTCCCGCCCGCACTAAACGCCTGCTACGCAGGCTAACCCCACATATATTCCTTCTAACAAACTGAGTGGATTTCAACACATTCTTGATATATATTATACTAAAATTGGTGTAATGCTTGTGGGACGTAGATATTGTACGCATGCGCAGTGAGAATTGTGTATTACGAAAATTCCTGACTTATAGGAGTTTGCAAAGATTCAGGGGGGAATTCTGCAGAGAATATCCCAGTTCATTCAAAATTCCTCAAAATCTTAAACGACAATAGAAATAGAGTATAAAGGGTGTATTTGAATTCATCGTATTACAAGACTTTATTACATACTCTTAGATTGTCCAATACTTTAACACCATACTTGGTTTAAATTTTTCCTGGGTATGTATTCACTATGTTTAGGACCGTTCAGCAAGGAATAAGAAAAATCCAGACATACATATAAAAAAAATTAAACATAACTACTAAGCGGTTGCTAAGCCCAAGTTAAAATCGTTGTCAACGCCGTTGTCATGGTCGATATTTGCATATTACAGAGTCATTAAAAAGTGATTAACCCGCCCACCTCATGTGGATACAATTTTTATTTCACCCAGCGAGTTTGAGACAGGAAAAAAATCGAAATTTTGTCGTTTGTGGCTCTCTAAAACGTATACCGCCAAAGTCATTAACAGTCATTAATGGATTACAAGCAAAACTTTAATCTCTTAAGTGCTTATTGACAGTAGCGTAGCCAGCCCGACTATTTGGTCCCGCTATGCAAATATTTTCATGTTCATTGACTGTGAAAACAATCAATTTCCAAAGAAATGAATAATGATAATAATTTTGAATTTGCGTAGCGGGACTAAATTGTCGGGCTGGTTACGCCACTGCTTATTGTGGATAGATAGGGATTATTTATTACCTTGAAATCGGACGCGTGGCTTTGCTGGCAAACGTTTGCACAATTTTCACTTTTAAAATACATTTATTTCTTCAAAATGTTTTACAAAGCTTCCAATATATATATCGTCACTTGTTTGAGACGTTGCACTATCCGATTCGTCATAGCGGCTGCCTTCATCATTGTGACTGCTTTCATCCGAGATATTGATATCCTAAGATACTGTATGATATCCTAAGATACTATATGATATCCTAAGATATTGATTGCATGATATCGTAATATACTATATGATATCCTAAAATACTGTATGATATCCTAAGATATTTTATGATATCCTTATAAGATACTGTATGATATGCCAAGATACTGTATGATATCCTAAGATTTTGTATCGGCTAAGATATTGATATCCTGAGATATTGATGTCCTAAGATCTTAATATCCTAAGATACTGAACGATATCCTAAGATATTGATATCCTAAGATTCTGTATGATACCTTAAGATATTGTGTGATATCCTGAGATACTGTATGATATTTTAAGGTATTGTATGATATCCAAAGATACTGTATGGTATTCCAAGATATTGAATGATATCCAACGATATTGTATGACATCCTAAGATATTGCTTCCTGAGATATGATATCTTAAGACACTGGGCGATACCCTAAGACATTGCATGATATGCTAAGATACTGTAGGACATCTTAATGAAGATAATACCAGATTCGATCCTTAAGATATTGACATCCAAGATATTGTATGATATTTGGAGCCAATCTGGACAGGCTTGCAGTCGCTTTAAATAGCTCGTAACCGAATTCTCAATAGCTCGGAGGTTCTCCAGATCGTTCATAATACTGACTTTAGTCTTAATAGTCATGACTATAGCCTTAATAGTCATGACTATAACCTTGATAGTCATAACCATAGTCTTAATAGTCATGACTATAATCTTAATAGTCAGGACTATAGTCCTAATAGTCATGACTATAGTCTTAATTAATAGTCATGACTATAGTCTTAATAGTCCTGACTATAGTCTTAATAGTCAGGACTATAGTCCTAATAGTCCTGACTATACTCAGGCCGATTAATGCTTGGCTCTTGCTTGGTTCTGCCAACGCTTGACTTGATATCTCCGCGCGAGTTACGCACGCGATTAATCATATCTGGCGTGTTGCTATTTTAGCGCATTTTGGCGTTCGAATAAAACTGAAATTGAATAAATATGGACTGTTGGATTATGTTAGATTATAGCAATCAGCAAGGATAGTAAATTATTAGTTTTCTTGTACAATTGGCCGTTATATAGTATACAGGGAGTCTAAAAAAACACTATGGAAATTTAACAGGCTGTCGTGCATCATACACTTAGCTAAACAATTGAATTTTTACATAGAACGAAAGAGCTGTTATTTAGCTTTCCTATGATACCTTATAAAAATCGTAACGATGAGAAATGGCCACACACTAAAAAAAATTGCCGGTCGAAATCACATTCTTCCACCGTTGGTAATTGAAAATACATTAATTATGTAAAGTTAGTCAATCCAAAAGCAAGCGAGCCTACTGCAAGCTATTTGTTTCATGAAACGTTTTGATAAGGGACTGGTAAAAAATTATCAGGGGGGTTGGGAGGTGTAATTCAAAATTTTAAGGAATATTTTGTGACCCTACTTTGCCATAACCCGGAAAATAATACACCCCCCCCCTCTCTTGCTCGTGTCAGTAAACCCCTCCCTCTTGCTCGTGTCAGTAAACCCTGCATTCAATAAATTTTCTAATTTCACTTCTAATTTGCTAGTTGCGCTTTAAATCAAATACTAAAATTTATATTATATCAATACATTATTAGTTATATATAAAAACTTTAGTTTTTTCAAACTTTTCATTCTAAGTTTAAAGAATCAAATTTTTTCAATGCAACTCAAACAAAATGTGAGAAGGCATGTACTAAAACAGCAAACCCCCTCCCCGCCTTCATAAACTTTCGAAATTTGCGCTCTTTCTAGCTGTGTTGATCTATTTGCATCGCCTTGCCCAGTTTGAAAATTGATCTATAATGGGAATTGTCCATTGGAGCTGGCCTCCTCCGTAAGGCATCTCGTAGTTTACCCGGGATGTTTACTCGCAACCAAGTTTTGCCCGCGAATCCAAAGGCGATCCCTGCCTTCCGAGGAGGTTGCATTGAAAGGTTGTAAACATTGAGTCAGGTTATAAAAATCGTATGCACTGCTTGGCGGCGAATTAATTCGTCTGTTTTGTAATCGATAAATATTGGCGTTTCCGTTCTATTTTTCTAGTATTCTAGTAGGTCAACTCGCGATTTTTTCCGGACGATATAGATAGAACTGATAATATGATACATAGATGCGCGGTCACCGATACATTAGGGAGGCGACCACAAAACCGCAAGCTACGTGTTAACAATGCGATAGAAACAAATCAAGAAAGAAAAGCTAACCAAAGCTCGAGTGACTGCCAACTCTTTGGTACTCCATCCGCGGTTTATCCGGACAAAAGCCTCGACATAGAACTCAACAACTGTTACTGTATATGTATTTGACTTTATCCAGTTAAGTGGATGAATACGTATTCAAAATTGAAGTCAATGATAGTGACTAAAACGTCATGGAATGTTACCCCAAATCATTTAAACAACACCCGGTCGATAATTGCGTCACAAATCCCTGCTTGGTCTGAGTTTCGTTCCCATGCATGAATCATGAACAAATGGAATTTTGTCTTTATTCATGAGAGCGAGGCTCCTAAGCCAAGGACGTACTTGTGATATAATTATTGAAAGGGTGTATTGCACGAGAACGAACAAACAGGAAGAATATTTTACGAACTCCTGTGTAGACGATACAACTACTTGAAAAATACAAAAATAGCTTTGACGTTTCAAACAAAGTCCCTTCGTCTGGAAATTTTTGGAAATAGTTGCATCATCAAAACAAGTTCTCAGGTTGTATTCTTCGCTAACTACATTGGAACCAACGATATTGCGGTCACTTTCTTTTAAGTTAGTGTTCGAGTCCAGTTACACTTTTGTTTAACTATATTTTCTACAATGTCAACGAGTGTAGAGAAACACGTCTGCCAGCGGCGGATAGCATTGGTCTTAAATCTTGATTTACTCCGTCAATTTGAATAACGCATGCATGTCATTCTAGGTTAACCATCTGTATGTCAACTGCTCTTATCAGGTTTAATTTTAGTCTTCTGAAATCTATTTTTTTTATATATTTCTCCCACTCTCTGCGATGTGTAAAGTACAGCTTCATGGCAGCACGCGCATCTTCTACCTTTAAAGAAATTGAAACAATTAAAACGTGCCAGTCGACCCAGCAGAATTCATGGATTTTAGATATGTTGTTTATGGACGAATTCATTGCCAACTCATTAATGACATATATTTTCTGTTGTGATTAATTGTTAGGTGTGTATGTGCTTACCGAAGAATGTTCACCGGCTTGAATTGACAGAGACAAGATTTCTTTCGCAAGTTTCTTCAACGATGGACGCTCCGTCTTCAAATATAAAAAGTATGTTAGACCATCTTAACGTAGCATTTTTTTATGCAACTTGCAACACAATTTCTGACATAGAGCGATGTTATGTTACTGATCATTTCTTTCATTCTCATCCATGCATCAGTGAGGTTCACATTTGTTTTCTACTATCACTACCGCTACCCCTCACAGGTTTATCACGCATTTGATTGGTTAATCGGATAGAATAAATGCTTGGTTAATGGTAACGGTAGCGATAGTGGAAGTCAGATATGGGTTCTTTATAGCATTCTTCATATATGCTCACTGCATTTTCTCCCCACCAATTAGGGATTTTCCAGTACGAATGACACCATTGTTGCTAGTTTTCTACCCTGAAACTACTGTAGGTAAGATCAGATGAAACCAAATTTTGCTAAATTGGACTATATGTTTTGTAACCATGCGCTGATTACCTTTACTTTCTCTTGAAATGGTTTATATTTAGCTGTATCACGAATACGCTTTCTTGGATGATCCAGTAGTAAGACCTGCAAAAAATTCATTAACATATCATGCTGCAAATTAAAAAAAGTGTGCAAAAGCCACAATACAATACTTAACGTCTATAAGCTGAAAATATAGCAAAGTGACCACATTATTTATAAGGTGAGCAAGTGACCTCGGTGTATATCTCAAGCCAAGCCAGTTAAACGTTCTTCATGTTCATAGAAATTAGAAAAGTAATTACTCAACAGGATTGTTGCATTTCTAACACTATCCCATCCTCTTTCATGCACAATATACATTAATTGCTTTGTCATCAAACTTCGATTTTATCCACGGGATAACAATTTAAACGGTTTTAAGCCACCGTTTAACTTTATCCGCCGGATAGCCAAAAGTTACAAGCTGAATAGCACTGAACGGGCTTTGTGTAACTCAATTTAACAAGCGTTTAAACTTTATCCGGCGGATTAGCGACTTAACGGTGGTTATAGCGACTTAAAGGTCTTTCGAACGGCGGCCCCAGATACAGCATGCGCTATATATAAGATGTTGATTCTTTAGTTCTGCATAACTTAAAACATTTCTTCTGATAGATGGTTTTATGAATTTCTGAAAATTGAGAAATTGCGCTAAACTAAACATCGTCATTGTCTTGTAAGTTGTTTACATGCATGTATGAACTTTGCGTGCGCGATAAACTGCGCAATATATAACCTAGAGTAAACAATAATTTCAAAGTTAATATAATTACTAACAAAATTATTGTGCGATAACAAGGGAGGCACTTGTCAAATTTGAATTAATTGATCCATGTGATAAATCGATATTATCATTAATGAGAATAAGCCGTTCTAAGAGGGATTCAAATTCCGTTTGTCACTGAAGATGAACATAACACTCGTCTTCGTTCTCAATACTTTTCCAAGAGTGAGGGCGAGACCGACGCATGGGGCTTTCTTCTGTACAAGTTTTCTGCTTCAGGAAGTGCCTCACTTCACCATTTACTTCAGGAAATGTCTCACTATATACGCCTTTTGAACAATGAAATATCGCTCAGCTCGTAGAGCATTCTACTCAGCGTGTTCAAAATCAAAGACAGTTATTTTATCGCATCCAGTTGACGTGAATGTGTCCGATGACGCACGGACATTAACGATGAAAGAAAAGACGCTAAGAGAACGTCTAGAATATGATTCCGTTTGACTGAACAAATCTTCATAAAGTTTGATGTAGAAAAAAGTCGAAACTAATTTTAAAGATTCAAAAGGGTTTCCTTCTGACGAATCATGTGAAAGGGTGGTGTTTAATCTAATGCGTAAACAAACCCAGTCAATCACCCATCTCACAACTACAGATGATTTCAAACACATGAAGACAGTTCTAAATTAA